CCAAATCAGTCATAATATGAGGGAAGAATTCGTGAATACCTGGAAATCTGCCAAGGCCTCCTCACCAAAACTAGAATTCTATAACTTAATTAAACATGATTTTGAACCAGAGGCATACCTACGAATAATCAAAGTACCTGATTTTCGAAAAAGCTTGACAAGGTTTCGTATCAGCTGCCACAACCTCTACGTTGAAAGGGGCAGATACGAAACCCCTCTTGTACCAAGAGAAGAACGTTGGTGCACTTACTGCTTTTTCAGTAAAGGGCTCAAACCTATCGAGGACGAAAGCCATGTATTAATTGACTGTTTGCTTTACTCCTCAGTTAGGGAAAAATTCAACTTTTATCCCCAAAACATCACTGACCTAGCCGGTCTGCTCTCCAACAAAAATCTAGATCCTACCAAATTTACTGCCACAGCAAGAGCAATCCATTCAATTCTCTCTGTGAACGAACAATATACAGCCTATTATAAGAGCCCAGATTTCCACTCAAATACTGGCAAGTGCATAATGCTCTAGGAACTCAAAATAAACTCATGAACCATACAAATTTGATTTACTTAAAGAAAATAGCATTATATTATAACATTTCTATTTTATCCCTACACATTTGTAAATGATTAGAAGTGTGTAACTTAAATTATTTCAGAATTATAACTATTGTGAACTCAATAAAATAATTATCACTTTTGTATCCTTGTATCCTTGTATCCTTGTATCCTTAGTGTTTTAACTGTATACTGTGTACTCGAAAACCTAATTTAAAAAAAAACTACTCAAAAACTTAATAAAATGTTGAATAGTGTCAAAATTTTATTTTATTAGTTACGTTAGAGTGTACTGAAAGATTTACTGAATCATTAAAATTATACTTGACACGGATGTTCGTTGCTTGTCTGGATTCCTTCGAAGTAGCGCGCACCGGGCTAGTCCATTAACGATGGACGAAATCATAAATGATTCCACAATAGACGATAAGACAGCCATGTTTTAAACCAGGGCCGGAAGAAGTAATGAGCTTGTGGTCATAGAAAGATCTGACACTATCAAAAAATGTAAAAAGAAACCATCGCAACAAGGGAAACGTTTGTCAAACGTCCGTTGTAGACCCGCCGCGCACGAGTGCGCGACTGTTTTGGGGCTTTCTCTCCGATACCAATAAATGATTATTGAACCACAATTGCAATTGGGGTCATGTCACGACTTACCTGGGGACCCCAGGCTATTATGATCATTAACATAGAGATTAGGCGGAATGACAGGCTGAGCACGGCCCAGTAAGTCACGACATGATATGATACAAGGTTAGGATTTATAATAGGGTTAGAAAATCAAAGTAATACTAATGGGCTTGTAGCGCGATGTGTTACTGGGCCGCGCCGCGCACTCAATTATGCTTCTCGCAACCTTGCTAGATCGGCAGGATGCGCTACTTGGCTTTAGCTTCGCTGACCTGCGACGAATTGACATCGTCAATTAAGACATATGAGCTCATTATAAGAATAGTGGCACCCTAGCTATCGATTTATTAAGTTTCAAAGAAGTTGCGACGCGGGTTTTATACTCGTCTATTAAATTGCGCTTAACTTCTCCAAATAATAATCCGAGGCAAGTTCTACGAAGCAGCGTGCGCAATGTAGTTAGAAGCTCTTACGGGCATTGTCTGCTTGATACGCTAGGGACCCCAGATACACCTTACTAGACGTATTTTTGACCGTAGAATCGATTAAAAGTGATTTTAAGATGATTGGACTGACTTTTTGGGGGTAAAATCGCGAAAACCCGATTTTTGGGCAAAAAATAGGCCAAAAAACCATGTTTTTTGATATTTTGAACAAGTTAATTTTGTTGGCATGTCGGCAAAACTTGCATAGAGATAGCTAAAACACAGCCGCACAAGATGGTTTAAAAATTTGAAAAATCCCTCTATTTTTTTGGGGGTAAAAATCCAAAAAAGTGGTAAAAATTTTGACTTTTTTGCTTGAAGTTTGAATAATTTTTTGCAGTTGTATTAAATCAACTCAAAAATAGTCACATTGTGTTTGCCTAAATTTTTCCTTTCCGAGAAGTACCCACTTCATATACTTTATCGAAGTTTGAATATTGTCACTCCGCAAGCGTTTTTGCCAAATTTTCGACGCGCACTAGGCGCAAAAGCATTTAGTTGTTATCAATTGGCATCCGCGCGTTCATCATAAATTTCAAACAGCTATAACTCAGCGAGATTATGTCCGTTCTAGCTCATATTTTCACACCAAATAGAAAACAATGTAATCTTATTGCTGACAAAATATGAATATAATTACTTTATTTGCCTTAGAGTAATAGACTGTCAAAGTTTGAAACGCGCATTGGTATAGCACGTGACTAATAAGGCCAAATTTATACTTCTTAACATATTATCGATTCTTAGACATCATACTATTGTGTCCAATTAGCAGTTAAGTCTCTTAACTCGTAGCAGAAAACACGTCTTTTTGCCCGTAAGAGCCTCTACTAATGTTAATTTTAGTCTGCACTCTGCATTAAAAATGGACAAACTTATATTAATTCCTATTGAAAGAGAATAAAAAGCTTAAAAACGCTTCTGCATTCTGTTCTGATACATGTTTCGTATCCAAATATCAGAGATATTATGGATACACCATGAAGGCACATCTCTGCGCGGCGTAAGCAGTAAGTAAATTTACAAGTTCGCGCGAAAAATTGTCTTATTTTCCTGGCGCTTTGTTCTCGCGCCGGGAGTGAATCACTTTAATTAGCTAACTCCTTAACTAGCATAATCTACAATCTAGATCTACAATACGAAGTAAGAGTTACCACGTTACTCTTTTATTTCTCCGTTAAGCCTTCGGCGGCGCGCGCGAAAAGTGGCATGCAACGTATATTAGGTAGTGCACCATCGACAGTGAGCCGCGCGTGCCGACTGTAGGATGGTTTTTTAGCGCTAATTTCGGCCAGCACAATTTTCTTCAAACAAATAAATATTAAGTATCCTTCCCGACCTCCGATTGCAATAAAAATTGGTAAGCTTACTCATAGACTTACAAGGAAGGTGTCCGAAAAGTTTAAAGCATATCCAACCATCAGACATTATGTTACAGCTAAAAGCAGCGTATTTTGCCCCATTTTGATAACTATATCAACTCCGATATCCACCAAATTTTTCGGACAGTTGTAAAAGCCCTATTGGAAGTTCGTCGCCAATTTTCAGAATGATATCATTCAAGGAACTGAAGATATATCTAGGTAGTGCGCCATTGACAGTGAGCCGCGCGTGCCGACTGTAGGATGGTTTTTTAGCGCTAATTTCGGCCAGCACAATTTTCTTCACACAAATAGATATTAAGTATCCTTCCCGACCTCCGATTGCAACAAAAATTGGAAAGCTTACTCATAGACTTACAAGGAAGGTGTCCGAAAAGTTTAAAGCATATCCAACCATCAGACATTATGTTACAGCTAAAAGCAGCGTATTTTGCCCCATTTTGATCACTATATCAACTCCGATATCCACCAAATTTTTTGGACAGTTGTGAAAGCCCTATTGGAAGGTCGTCGCCAATTTTCAGAATGATCTCATTCAAGGAACTGAAGATATATCCAAATAATACGACAAAAATCAACGAATTTGGTCAAATTTGGTCAAATTACGCGACTTTTGTAGCAAATTTTGCTCCAAAAGCCGCGCACCATCAAATATGGCACCTAGGCGAAACTCACTGATCTTTTCAAAAAGGTACGACAAATTTGGTATTGTGAAAATTCTCACAGTCTCTAGAAAACAATGGTACAAAAATTTTTAAAATCCGAGCAAGTTTATTTTTATGGTGCACCCCCTAATATATCCAAATAATACGACAAAAATCAACGAATTTGGTCAAATTAGGTCAAATTAGGCGACTTTTACAGCTAATTTTGCTCCAAAAGTCGCGCACCATCAAATATGGCACCTAAGCGAAACTCACTGATCTTTCCAAAAAGGTATAACAAATTTGGTATTGTGAAAATTCTCACAGTCTCTAGAAAACAATGGTACAAAAATTTTTAAAATCCGAGCAAGTTTATTTTTATGGTGCACCCCCTACGTATATCAAATTCTGTTTTATTTATCCATAAAAAGCACAATTAAATAAATATAAAGCGTAAAATTCCCGGTTCAATTTTGGTCGAGACACGTCACACGTCAATTAAGTCATTACTGTCACCAAGATGCAGTTAGCCCTAACGCAGAGTTAGGCCTAACTTTGTAGACTATTGTATCACGTTGCGACCCCCACGGTCGTTTCACTTTATCGTCCTGACGATACAGGCGGGTCATACAACGTATGACAAGTAGACTAGTACATGTTAAATAGACCCCCAGTGCCTAAGTTAGGCCTAACTCTACGTTAGGGCTAACTGCATCTTGGTGACAGTAAGTGCACTGTGCACAATCGAGTAAGTAAAGTCATACATTATAGTTTGTAGCTAGTTATTGGTTATACATTTAATAGAGCTGTTTTATGCGTATCATTATCAAATTTAATGTGGTTTCAGGGAAACACTACAATGAGCCCATCATGTCCCAGTGGCTAATTATAGGTTACATTAGGGTTAAGTTATTTTAAAATTCGGACGTGGACAAGACTAGTTAGAAGCATGCTTTCCGGTTTCTATATAATAATTTGAAATAGCTAATATAATCTAATTCTAGTTGTGCGCGCAATTTTGATAGTGCACAGTGGAGAGCATGTTGAAAAATGTACTAACGACTGATGTACCGGTCGAACTATCGGTAGAATTTTCCAAGGCGCTCCTCACATTTAGTCAATTTCATAGATATTCCAGTCTTCACCTAACCATGTGCTTTCGCGCCTCTGCAAACGCAAGGGCTCTGGATAGATTAATTCCAGTCGGGAATAACATGCAGTAGATTAGCACGTTAACAAAAGTAACCGGACGATCTAAACCACTTAAATAATAATATATTTTACAATGAAACACAATTTAGTCGTTTTGAAAATAAAATGTAAGTAATGTTATTAGGTTACATTTACCATCTTGACATATTATCACAGATCCATCTGACATACGACAAATTTAACTCGTATAAGAATTTGTAGACTGTCCCAACAGTGATTTAAGCTACTCGAATTATTTGAATCTAATTAAAAGTCGAAAAGAAAAAGAGGAAAGACGCAAGGATTTTAAGACACAATTCAAGACGTAATATGAAAGTCCTCTGTCCGTTCGTTGACCAGGATCTAACATGTAACATTTTACCCTAAAGCACTATTCAATCAATGTAAGGAGATTAAAATTCGATAGATGTCCGCTAATTGAACATATTAAAAATAGAATAAATTATTGTTTATGTTATAAATATTTTCTATCATTCCTGAAGCCTCACTTCGGACTTTCAACCAAGAACATTTATCAGTTTCGTCTTACCAGTACTAAGCCCAGTATTTCATCAGCGCAGCGCAACAATTCCCCCTTTCTTGTTCTCCGATTCATAATTCTAGACTCAGCGACCAAAGATCACTATCACAAGATTCGTCTGAAATATCACGTGGGAGTTACTCGGCACGTGGGAGTTATTTGGCACTGCTGAAGTTGAACATGTCTGTCGTAAGCTGTGGAGCTTTCCTGGGTTTTTGTTTCCGTTCCCCAGCTCGGTAGGTCACACCGGAAGTCTTGTGCTGATCCAACTGTTCAGCCTGAGATAGAGATTAGAGATATTAGCAAGTCTACATTGTTATCGGTTACATTGGAGACATTAGAACGTTTGATCAAAATCAGGGATACCTTTGACTTTCCAAAAAACAAGAAAATATTTTCCATAAAATGTCAGGGAGCTCCTCAGAAACAGACAGTAATATAGTCCGGAAACTCACCATTAGCTCCTCTTCTTCTTGTCTCATCTCCTGACTCAACACCAGCCTTTTCATCTCCTCTCGTTCCCTAACCGCTGCTTTCTGCTTGTCAAACAGGTTACTTGCAAAGTCAGACTCCACTGGAATATCCATCTTCTTGAATTGTTGTTTGGAACCTTTCTTTATCATGACACTGAACTGCACGGAGTTTCCCTCAATCTTGTGTCCTGTAGGAATACATTAAGTTGACAGCTCGTGCAAGAAGTAATTAGACCTAGATACTGTCAATCACTTTTTATACATAGTAGGAATTAGACAAATCGAGTTGGCCAACACGTCTACACGGACAAATCATGATCATGGGAGTAGAAGAAAGATGTTAAACTTTAAAGTTGAAAAGTTTAAGTGAAGTGCTGATATATTGTGCACATCTTGAATGGTAACTGTGACAAACCTTTGAAGCCCCTATTCATAGGCAGGGCAAGGTCACTACTGTTTACTTTGTTAACTGTACTGTCCATCTTTCTCCCGGTCAGTTCTGACGTCATAGTACGCTCCAGTTCTGCGATGAACTCGTCATCCTCCTCGCACTTTACTGTCTGCAATGGTAACTGTTGTGAATAGGCGCAGGTACCGCTCGGTTTGATAACCCGAAATTTATAAAAGCTTGTGAGTCGTTTATACACGTTAAGGTATTTTTTATACACTGTTAAATAATCCACAATTAAAATTTAAAGTTTAAACTTATGAAAGTTTAAGGTGCTTTGTATAACAGATATTATCACGATACGCCAAATTCCTTACCTCAAGTTTCTTGTTGAGTTGGAGCTCCTCCTCGTTCTCATCGGGTGTCTCTTCTCCTGGTCCCTGGTCTTCAGTCTCCGTATCCTCGTCCTCTTCTGTTTCTTCTGCGTCTTCTTGACTTCCTGTAAATAATTAGAGAGGTTTACAATGACATTTAATTAAAATATAAATAAACAAATCTACCTCAATCTCCCAAAACCCAGATACGGTGGATTTATCTACACTTTGATAGCGGCTTATGTAAAAGAAAGAACAATATAACTAAACAAGGATCACCAGGTACCTAGAAGGTTCTTTAGTTGCGGAGATATCTCAGCAATAGCCAGATCCACCTCAGCGACAGAAGGGTACATGGTAATGTTAGGTCGGATGCTTTCCAGAGTATCCTGTATGCTGTACTCCACGTCTATTGGGAGTGGCTGTACTTTCGTAAACAGGTATTTCTGGCGAGGGTATAATGTTTAAACAGAGAACAAGAAAAAACTTTCCCAGCGTCAGATACTAATATTAAGCCTTGAAAAGTGGAGAAACTGGAAGTGAACATAATATATTGACACAGAGCGGATAACAAGCTTTACTAGCGTCAAATCTACCAATTTTTTACCTTGAAAAATGGTGACACTGAAAGTAACTGAAAGCCTCAAGAGTAAAGAAATGACAAGTGTGAGGTACATCTTACTATATATAAAGCGAGACGATATATATGGATGTGTTTATCCGTACCATTTTACTGACACCACAGCATCAACTTTAACACGACTTTCCGCAAAAACCGTAAAAGATATACAACTGATACTTTTTTGACTGGGTCAAATGCTTTAATGGCCTCCAAATCAGCATGAAAAAATAAAAAATTGGCCAAGGAATAGGAGTTTTAGAGTCCAAAATTTGAACCCCCAAGTGGTGTCAAAAACGCGAATTAAATAGGTAATAAATATTTTAGTCTCTTGAGTCTTGACACTATTTTAGGGTTATACGGGTTCCTGCTAGTTATAATAAATTGAGAAGACTGCTCCACCTGGAAGAAGAGTAAGAAGATATCACACTTCTTCTTAAGAGACCCCTTCTCGAAATATTGCCCACAAGTCTCCAGTATAGTGATAACTATTCTCGTTCTTATCATGTCAGCGGGCTGGTCAATCGGGTTCGTTCCTAGATTGTTTCAGAGGATCAGTTATTCTTTAAAAGATTAAATTAACGATGGGTACTAATATAATAAGAAAATCATATTTTAAAACTAATTACAACACTACAAATCTAATACATTTATTGAGTATTGTGTAACGCGATGGAAATATTTTAAACGGGCAATATCCTGTCCAAACCCAGGATACATTTAAACATGAAGACGTTGTTGCATGAAAAGAATTAATACTACATATCAAAATAAGTTTGAGATATTACGCACGATTTTAATAGTTTAATAATTTGGTAAAAACCTAAATAAAAATTACATCTTATTGAATAGATTAATGAGACTTAAAATGCAAGCAAACTTCAAAAATACCCACCATCAGGTAGAGCTCCGAAGGAGATAACGAGATAAAGAGAATTGAAAATAATATTACTCTCAATCATCCTATAGTTATACAGTTCTCCCAGGAGTTTCGCTTCAGAGATCCTCCTCTGGTTGTACTGAGGCTGGTTTATCTCCATGCCTATACGCATAGCTTCTAGAACATTGTCCACCACCAGGATACCAACTGTCTCCTAAAAATGTTGAGGTTAGCGGGTTGTTGTGTATTAAGTTTATTGTTATCGTTATTTGTTATATTATTATAAATAGTTTATTATATAGTTATAGGTACTTTAAATTTGATAGCGGACCTGCATTACTGCATTAGGCCTCAATTTTTGTATCACCCTGTATGAAGTATACAAAATCCCGCGATTGATTACATTGACTAAACACTGTTCTGCAAGAATTTAGGACAGAGACAAAATTATAGTTAAAGTTTTAGCACGATGATAATGGCAGTGTTTTTACTCTATCTTTTCAGTCTTAACAAGACATGGGAACAAGCTCATGAGTCCAGATCACCGACGTGTTCAGAAATTTAGAACAAAAAGCGAATAGGACAATAGCGTGGACAGTCAAAGAAAACTCGCGATAATCTCGTGAAAAAATAGGTGCTCTAGGACTTAGTCGATCGTGGGTCTCGAGAACATACATTTGTGAGTAGAGTATTTTTTTCGTACTGAAATCTCTAGCTTTGACAATTTAACATGCTTTGGATAATTTGTATTTTGGCAGAAATGACAGTATTTCTAGGTGAGGTTATCAAAACCAATTATTTCCATTTCTGTATAGCAATCAGTTCCGTTATTTAAAGCAAAAGTGTTTCGAATTCTTCATAAAGAATAAGAAATAGGGATAAGAATTAAGGAGTTTCATTTCAGGAGGTGGAGCTGATAGGGTACCAGAAGATATCAGATTCTCTATTTGGAGTTCTAGCACTACACAATCTAAAACTGGAGTTCTCATGGCGAGTAGATCAGGTGCACAGAAGACTCCCGTTTGTTACATACGGTACTCCTTCAGCTCTTACTACCCAACTAGCACATCTGCCCAGTATATCTGTGAGAGTATGAACTACAAAAACCTTGCTTCAATTGGAAATGTTTGGAACAGCTACAGTTTTACAGAGAGCTACAGTTCTACCACCAAACAATATAATCTCCAATGCACTAGCCCACAATCCTGCACCTACTCGACCACGTCCAGTTGTTACGGCAGTTATAACTACGCCAGGATATCTTGCTCTGGCTGTAAAGCCAACTCCTTCGTATCTGGAAGTCTCTGCGTTTCTTGTCCAACAGGTGCTACTTCTCCAGAGGACTCAACAACTTGCAATTGTAGAGCAGGTCAATACTGGTTAAACGGAAACTGCCCAATTTGTCCAGCCCACTCAACATCCATTAATGGCTCCAACAGTTGTGAGTGTCAATCAGGAAGATACTGGTTATGGTCTAATGGTAACTGTCCAGTCTGTCCAGTGAACACCTACAGCGAACAAGGCTACACATCCTGCACTCAATGTCCTACAGACTCAACGTCTAGCACCGGATCAGAGGAGTGTAGATGTAAAGCAGGAAGATACTGGTCTAACAGACATTGTCCAGTCTGTCCTGCCAACACCTACAGCGCTGAAGGTTCTATACAGTGTACACCATGTCCTGTTGGGGCAACGTCCCATTCAGGATCAGCTATGTGTGACTGCCAGGCAGGAAAATATTGGGCGAATGGGAATTGTACAAATTGTCCACAAAACACTTTCAGCTCCGCAGGATCAACATCCTGTACTCCCTGTCAAGTAAACTCAACGTCCCACTCTGGATCAGAAGTTTGTGACTGTGCAGCTGGTTTATTTATGGACTCGGGTGTCTGCATCATCTGTCCAATAAACTATTACAGTACAACAGGGAGCACAGTTTGCTCGAAGTGTCCATCTAACAGCAGCTCTACTGCAGGCTCATCATTCTGCAAATGTCCTGCCGGCCAGCATTTCAGCTTGGAAGATGGGACTTGTAACAATTGTGAAGCAGAGACTTCCAGTGACGGTGATTCCCTGACCTGCGAGACATGTGTACCTGGTTCACACAGTGCTCCTGGATCTGATCATTGTAATTGCTCTGGAGGTCTGTACATGGACGAAAGTTACTGTAAGACCTGTTCTGAAAACTTTTACAGCTACTCAGGTGCCACAAATTGTACTGCTTGTCCAAACAATTCCACGTCTTCTACCTATCAGGCATTTTGTTCCTGTCAGCCAGGTTTCTTCTGGAACTTCACATTAAACAACTGCACATCCTGCTCTGAAAACAGCTACACGGATATCACCAACAGCACAAAATGTACCAGTTGCCCAGTTCACTCATCGTCAGAGATGAGCGCCAAACTCTGCGATTGTGAAGCTGGCTACGAAATGGTTTATGATTAAACCAACACAACAAAATGCCAGATTTGTTCAGAAAACCATTACAGCAGTTTTGGATCCCTGAACTGCACTAAATGTCCACATTTCAAAGCTTCCAAACCAGATTCTGGATATTGTTACAGATGCACTTTTGGACAGTATTGGGTAAATCATTCTTGCTTACAATGTCCTGATCACCTATTTGGTGACGGAGTTCACTGTAATGAGTGTCCCAGGGGTTTCCAAGTGGAGAAAGGTTTCTGTTACAAAATAAGTGATGAGTCGGAAGAGGTTCAGTCTCTTCAAAACAAAGAGAAAGAATATGGCAAAATCATCAAATGGCTGAGAGTAGACGTAGCAAGGCTAGAAAAAGTTGAAAAAACGGACAGAGTATTAGTTGTAGTAGTCTTTGTGGTAATCTCCACTATTTTACTGATTTTGTGCTACATTGCTTTTTACAGAGGCTCTAACCTTGGAAAAGGACAAAGCACCGCTAAAGTGAGGATGACAGACGTTACAGAGACAGAGGAGCGGGAGGAGGAAAACAATTTTGCCAATAGTGAACCACCATTCCCACTAAAACTTACTGAAACGGAACGAGAAGGTTTAGATGACGGCGAAAATGCCGTGAGAGAAATATGTATTGGGTGTGGAATTGATGGTGGAGATAACGATGAGGAAGAGAATACTTACGAAGATATAAACCATATTTAATAGAATTAAAAGGAGGGAATATTGAGTCTTATTTGAGATGGAAGGATAAAAAAGCGCAAAGAGCAGCAAAATTAATATATAGTTTAATTTTCGAAGTTATTTTTGTTCAAAAAGCCGGGTAAGGTACATTAAAAATAAATTTGTTTAATTGACAGTGTAGACAAAAAGTTCATGTACATTATGTAAGTGAACAAAGGTTATCAAGATTTAGTTGATTTAGGATTAATTTAATTTCTAATAATTGTTGTTGACCTCACCTCACGCTCCCAACTTGACCTCACAGAACACGCAGCTATACAAATACGACAACCAGCTATGAACAGAACAGACCGCGCACCCAAATGTAGTTCCCTCTGGGACCCCATTCTTCCTAAAATTGCCAAATCCTTAAAGTCCAGACCATCTGGCATTTCCTTCTCAACCTCAACAGAAGACTAAATTTTTATTGACATTGTACTGTAATTTTCACTTTCCCACCCACACCTCCCCCACCCTCCATCCCTGACACCACTCAATCACATATAAGCATTGTCCACCACATCACATTCAGCTGACGACGATTAACACATGTTTATTGAAAGCTTCTACAAGTTAAATCATCGTATCTCTTATATGTTTTTAACCCAACTCCACTCAGTTTTGAATTATTAGTTTTTAATGTTCTTTGTTGTATTCTAATAATAAATTATAAATTTAGAAAACCAATACCGTATAAATTTTAGATTAATAACATCATTTTCTGCTTTATTCTTATCACCATATTAACGCATTTTATCATTTCGATTTTACTTACATCAAATAAAACAAGTAACATGTTATATAATAATTCACGACAAAGATTATAACATCATTTCAATAATTCAATGATGATAAATGGCAGTCTTTTTTGTTATCTTTGCAGTCTTGACAAGGCATGGGAACAGACTCATGACCAACTTGATTAGAAATTTAGTACAAAAAGCAAATTAGATAATAGCGTGGACAGTGAAATAAACCCCGTGTTGCAAATCTCATGACAAGATAGGTGCTCCACGACTAAGACACGGGTTGAAAGAAGAAAAACCAATTTTTGAGAACAATTTTTTCATTCGCTCCAATTTCTTTAGCTGTAACATGTTTTGGAGAATCTGTTGTGTGACAGTTATGACAGTTATTCTAGGTTAGCTTATTTAAAAACCACATTTTTCGATTTAGGCACAACACACTTTTCTGGAATTATTTTCCATTGAAGCAATGGTTATTGTCGATACGAATTAATAAAGAAGTAAAAATTAAGATGCTTTATTTCAGGAGGTGGAGCTGAGAGGGTGCCAGAAGATGTCAGATTCTCTATTTGGAGTTCTAGCACTGCACAGTCTAAAACTGGAGTTCTCATGTCGAGTAGATCAGGTGCACAGAAGACTCCCGTTTGTTACAGAAAGTCCTCAAGCAATTCTTACTACCCCTCCAGTACATCTGTGAGAGTATGAACTACAAAAACCTTGCTTCAATTGGATATGTTGGGTACAGTTACAGTTTTGCAGATAGCTACGTTTCTACCACCAAACCATATAATCTCCAATGCGCTAGCCCACAATCCTGCACCTACTCGACCTCGTCCAGTTGTTACAGATATTACTACTACACAAGGATATCTTGCTCTGGCTGTAAAGCCAACTCCTTCGTATCTGGAAGTCTCTGCGTTTATTGTCCAACAGGTGCTACTTCTCCAGAGGACTCAACAACCTGCAATTGTAGAGCAGGTCAATACTGGTCCAACGGAAACTGCCCACTTTGTCCAGCCCACTCAACATCCACTAGTGGCTCCAACAAATGCGAGTGCCAAGCAGGAAGATACTGGTCGTCTAACGATAACTGTCCTGCCTGTCCAGTCAACACCTACAGCGAACAAGGCTACACATCCTGCACTCAATGTCCTACAGACTCAACATCTAGTACCGGATCAGAGGAGTGTAGATGTAAAGCAGGAAGGTACTGGTCTAACAGACATTGTCCAGTCTGTCCTGCCAACACCTACAGCGCTGAAGGTTCTAAACAGTGTACACCATGTCCTGTTGGGGCAACGTCCCATTCAGGATC